TAGCAGTGTGTGTGTGTGGGGGGGGGACAGTCTATCCCTGCAAATTAAACAAAGGCTTAAGTTCAGAATTCTCTGTAGATTATCCAGATGGATATACACCTGAGGAAAGCTGAAAGGCACAACGACTGAAACGTTAAGAAAAAAAAAAAAACAATGATGGGGACAATGGTCCAGTTATGAATTGCACAAATTTGAACATTTCAACATCATCATCATCATCATGAAGAATAAGTATAATAATAATAATAATAATAATAAGAATAATAATAATAATAATAATAATAATAATAATAATAATGTGGATAATTATAATTTTTTTTTTTTTTTTTTTTTTTTTGTTCAGTGGAAAGTGTCATGACGCCATTTCTAACCTTAGGTCCCTGGGCGGGACCCGGAAAGAAATGTGTAAATGCCAGAAATCAAAGAAAATAAAAATAATGATAATAATGAGAATAAGAATAATACAGAGCACATAATCTTTTCTGACTAAAATTCAATTGAATAGGCCACAAACAGCAATATCAGTGACATTTTTTTTTTTTTCATTACAAAATTTGGCACCACTACCATTTACCGGGTGTGCTGAGGAAAACAGTAGTGATTTATTGACCACTTAAAAAAAAATTGGTATTGATAGACAAGCTTTTTCTTTTCTTTTTTTTTTTTTTGTCTATTTTACCAAAACATCTGAATTATTATCAGCTTACTAACTACTTTTTTTTTTATATATATGAAACCATTGAATTACATTTCCTAACTAACAAGTCGGAGAGCCGAGTTCGAATTCCATTCAAATCCATTACATTCAGTTACATGCTAATAACCTTGGGAAAGGCATGAATTCTCTTTTTCTCTCCCTCCAGCTATTGGTAAATAGCAGGACAGACTGGGTTCTATAGCCTTGGATAGCAACAGGTCTAGCGCAGAAAGAAATGGTAAACTACTGTGGGAGAAAATCAGCCTCGTCAGTCATGTATCGAAAGATACATGATCACCTAAGCTTCTATCATGAATGGCACATAACTGACTGAACCAACAAGGCTTACGGCCATATTGAAACACCAGTTACTATACGATCACCAAAGTTAAACCATGTTAAGCATATTCAATACCTAGATGGGTGACTGTAAGCTTGGATGTACAAGTGATGTAATGAATAATGGTTTGAAAGTGTTAATCAGAGAGATGAGTTCCAATTCCAGTTGGGTTTGTCATATTCAATTACATGCAGATACCTTTGGGGAAAATTATGAATCCACCTTTTCTCCCCACAGCAATGTGTTAATTAGTAAGACTTTCTTCGCTAAATCATTATTATCTAAAAAAAAAAAAAAAAAATCTTGCAATCTAAAAATATTTTGTAGCTTTAAACAACCTGAAAAGGATTGATAAGCCATAGAAAAGGAATGAAGCAATCTGACAATGACAAAATTAATATCATGGTTTAATAAAAAAACAAAAAAAAAACAAAAAAAAAACAAAAGAAAAACATAAAGCCAACCCCATCATTGAAAATGTAATTCTTTTATTTAAAAAAAAATAGTAAGTGGGTAATATATTGCTGTGTCCCTGAAGGATATGGGCAACCATGGCTTTTTTCCTGTCCCTTGTAGCCTTTAGTAAAGTTTCTCTGTTTTGCTATCTCTTCTAATCCCTGTCTTGCTCATTAAGTAAGTTAGTCACTGCTCTCCTCTGTCCCTCTTGTGTTTAACATGTCCTCTGAGTGTCAAATTTTCCAATCCCACTTTCCTCATTAATGGGCCCTAGAATTTCAGTTATGTCTTTCTGATTCTAATTTTAAATGTCCTTGCGTTGGTTAGATCCAGTGACAGACCCAAAGAAGGTGAGTTCAATTCCTGGTTAAGGCAGTGGAGAACTTTCAGAGGGAAAATTAGCAGGAGATAACTGATAACTGACATCCATCAAACATGGCACGTGGAACTAGAACAGTCTACCCCAGTGATCGAAATAAAGGGATCAGTTCGAAATTCCAACCACCTAAAGAAGGCTGGAGCGTACAATGGCCGAAACGTTGTGACAAATATGGCGACAAAGATGAGGAAAATAGTCCGACTAATGTAAATACTGTACATAATACCTCATCTCAGAAATATAGACAGACTTTAAATGTCCTTTCTGTTTCCAATTTCTGTTGATATTACTTTTCCTTAAATGGGGGGTAAAAAAAAAAGAAGCACTGAAATGATACATGATATCTGTCCTTGTTTATGGCACCGAATGATGGATGGTCTCCTCAAAGATGAAGAAGAGACTTGAGACAAGGGAGGTATGGTTCTACAGAAGGATGCTAAGGATAGCATCGACTGAACATGTGAGCGACAATGAGGTTTCGGAGAGGATGCAAACAAGGAAGAAGCTTATACTTATCAGGAAGAGGCAGCTGAAATTTCTGGGACACGTAATGAGAAAGGAGGGCTTGGAAAATCTGATAGTCACAGGACGGATAGAGGGAAAGCTATGTATAACATACCTAGCTGGCTTCCCATCCTGGATAAGATGATTAACTACGTCCAACAGCAAGGCCTCTGGTCAGGAGGTTTTGAGGAGTGTGGAACCACCTCTTAATTGCTGGTGTTCCCAGGTCTGCCCTGACCTGGGGTGGTAGCACCTGTTAGGGTCCCAGCTATGGGCAGATAGTTAATCCTGAAACTGGAGTAAAGAAAGGTTTTAATACCAGGAATACTTTTTTAAAAAAAAAAAAATTTATTATCAGCAATAAATTTTTGAAGAAAAAAAAATATTACCAGCAATACATTTTTGAGGAAAAAAAATATTACCAGCAATACATTTTTGAAGGAAAAAATTATTACCAGAAATAGATTTTTGACAAAACAATATTACCATCAATAAAAACTTTTCAGCATTAAATAACCCATTGAGGTTGATATGCCGTAAAACACAACAAACCAAACCTAGCAGGCTTAAGCAAATGGATGATGGAACCGAGTTTAGAAGAAGTAAAAAAAGGACAAAACATATTGAGAGGTACAAGGGATGGGGAGAAGTGGAGAGCCATGATCACCTAAATCCTGAAGTGACATGACACATAAAAGAATTCCCTACTGCATTTTATAAGCGTGCTTGGTAAATGTCTTCATCAAGCCAAAAATTTACTCTCGGTTTCAACTTTAGACATTTTGCCTCTTGACTGAAGTTTGTTTCTGTATCCTCCTTCATCTATGGCAGGGAATATTCATCCTGTACAAGGCCTAAGAGCCACTCGAGGTAGAGTGTTACAAAGTAAGAGGCACAGTTTATGTGGATAATTGTAGAAGATCATGGTTATCTCTAAACATGAACAGGTTAAGATTGTAGTGATCAGGGAAGCATCCTCTTGGGAGTTGGTTCCACAAAGTAGCAGTTCATGAGAAGAAGCTGTTTGAGTGCAACTTACATCTCACAACTGGAATATAAAAGGAATGAATGTGGTTTGTTATAATGTGTGTAGTATGGCAGGTCTTAGCTGTGAAGTTTAGAACCGATGGAATTAAGGAATGTAGTTTGTCTGAATGCTTTCCATGGAAAAATCAATAGAGTAGTGACATTTTGTCTGTGCGAAAGACAGTTGCAGGGTGGAAAATAATTAATCACCCACAAGGTTGTGTAGATGCTTTTGGACTTGATTAAAGACTTCATCAAAATAGGTAGGTAGGAGTAGATGTGATAGGCAACAATAAACTACAAAAGAACTCAAAATTGATCGCTGCATTTAAGTATTGCATTAATATTAGGTTGGTGCAAAAATAATGACGTAATAATGTCGTTTTTTTACGTTAAAAATACGTTACAAAACGACATTATTACGTCATTATTTTTGCACCAACCTAATATATAAGCTTACATTTTAAGTGCTTAACAATAATTCTTCTGCTGCCACTTAATTTAAAGACAATTTGATGTACATAGGTCCTTACTTTCTGTACAAACAATTATTTTTATTGCATAGGTGAGTTTCGCTGGATTTTGCACTTAATTTTGATTATTCCCAAATTTATTTCCAAGTTATAAAAATTGTCATTGTACAAAAAATTTGTTGCAAAAAGTCGCCTAAAAATTGCCAAAAAAAATTGCAGTAATGAAAACTTGGAAATCTGAAATTTCAGGATTGCAGATCCAGATCCTGCTTGAATATGTTTTTAATTAGCTCATGGAGTCAACCTTATTCCGAAATGGTATGATATGTTGGGCTATGGCCTCTAGGAGTAAAGCTGAAAAAGTGTGACACTGACATTTGCATTTATTATGTAGATGTAAAAAGAAAACTCCACTCACACAGCTTTTTCCCCAAGTAGTGCAACTTTTCAGAAGTCAAGTGTCAAACGTTTTCTCTCCTCACAAATCTTTGCTTTCTACTTCCTCATCTTTCATTTATATCTCACACCTCATTCACTATAACCATTTTAACAGTAAGCCTCTAGCTTAAGTGACTCTCAAGTTTTATATTGGGTGATCCTGAAAAAAAAAAAAAAAAAAAAAAAATGGATAGTTTTGATTTGCATACATTTTATATTCTCAAGAGTAGCATCCATTTTGTTATTGATTCTGATTTTAAAACTCTTAAAAGTAATTTTGAAAACATGGTGTTAGGAAAGTTCTTGATCCAGTCCATTTCCCAGAATGTGACCAAAAGACTAAAATCAGTATTTTCAGCACCCTTTTTATATGGTGTATATACATTGAAGTATTTCCTTCCATTCATTCTGGATGTATTGAAAATAGCAAATAAGTAATTATACAACAATGTATTTAACTTCAGCTTTTGCTAATTAACAGAGTTGGTGGATTCAGCTGAAAAGGCAATGGTAAAACCTTTGTTTATCTCAAAGCTTGAGATGATAATATTTAGATGGCATCAACAAAAGCTTATGTTCGTACAGCCTTCATTTCTTCTTATCTACGTTTAGACATTTTGTCTTTGAATCTTGTTTGTAATTCCCTTTAATTCTTTTTCACTCTTTATTTTCTTTCTCCCCTTTTAAATGTTTTCTGCTTTCTTTGCCTGTATCACCACTCTCTCTTTCTCTCTCTCTCTCTTTGTCGCTTTTCACTTTTATGTTTTCTCTTTCACTTTTCTTTTTGTCTCTTTCCTTCTATCTTCCTCTCATTTTTGTCCTGTTCCCTCTCTCTTTGTCACTTTTCTCTTACTTTTTCCTCTTCTTCTCTTACTTTTTCTCTTTTTCCTCTTCTTCTCTTACTTTTTCTCTTTTTTCTCTTCTCATCCTTTTTCTTTTTCCTCTTCTTCTCTTAGTTTTTCTCTTTTTCCTCTTCTTCTCTTCCTTTTGCTGTTTCCTCTTCTTCTCTTCCTTTTGCTGTTTCCTCTTCTTCTCTTCCATTTTGCTGTTTCCTCTTCTTCTCTTCCTTTTGCTGTTTCCTCTTCTTCTCTTCCATTTTGCTGTTTCCTCTTCTTCTCTTCCTTTTGCTGTTTCCTCTTCTTCTCTTCTTTTGCTGTTTCCTCTTCTTCTCTTCCATTTTGCTGTTTCCTCTTCTTCTCCTCCTTTTGCTGTTTCCTCTTCTTCTCTTCCTTTTGCTGTTTCCTCTTCTTCTCTTCCTTTTGCTGTTTCCTCTTCTTCTCTTCCCTTTGCTGTTTCCTCTTCTTCTCCTCCTTTTGCTGTTTCCTCTTCTTCTCTTCCTTTTGCTGTTTCCTCTTCTTCTCTTCCTTTTGCTGTTTCCTCTTCTTCTCTTCCATTTTGCTGTTTCCACTTCTTCTCCTCCTTTTGCTGTTTCCTCTTCTTCTCTTCCTTTTGCTGTTCCTCTTCTTCTCTTCCATTTTGCTGTTTCCTCTTCTTCTCTTCCTTTTGCTGTTTCCTCTTCTTCTCTTCCATTTTGCTGTTTCCTCTTCTTCTCTTCCATTTTGCTGTTTCCTCTTCTTCTCTTCCTTTTGCTGTTTCCTCTTCTTCTCTTCCTTTTGCTGTTTCCTCTTCTTCTCTTCCATTTTGCTGTTTCCCTCTTCTTCTCTTCCTTTTGCTGTTTCCTCTTCTCTTCCTTTTGCTGTTTCCTCTTCTTCTCTTCCTTTTGCTGTTTCCTCTTTTTTTCTGTCTATTTGTTTTGTTCTCTTTTTTTTCTTTCTTTCCCTTTTTTCTGCTTTTTCGCTCACTTTCTCTCTTTCTGCTTTTTCTCTCTCTTTCAGCTTTTATCCTCTTTTTCCTCATTTTCTCTCTCTATCCCTTGGTTTTTCTCTATCTCTTTCCAATCATCTTCTCATATGTCTACAATATCAATACATTTAATACTTTAGAAAATAGAAGAATTCAAATCACTTCCAAATTTTATAATGTCTATATTAATTCACTTTATACTAATTTCTGTCAGGAAGGTATGAACCATTTCTAACCTATCCTATTCTTTGATAGATGTCTACACAAAGGTCTTGTCACTGTCATGCCATGCTCATTTCAGGAATAAGTCTCAATGAAGAAAGGGTTATTTCCCTCTTACTGATACTATTTAACCCATTATAATCATCTTGTTACTTCGAGAGGAGATGGACGTTTCTCTTTCTCTTGCAATAATTATTTCCAATCATGAGGACCTATTCAGATAATAACATGTAGGTTTATATTTTTATCATGGAGTAGTTGTTTGTCATGAAATATTTTATAAGATAATGGTAGTGTCCTAGTTGGCTAGAACTGGTCTTGCTAAGTGTCAAGTATAATGCAGCAGTCTGAGTCTTCATTGCTTGATAAACTTTTGTGTGGAGCAGGACCTTGATTTTATTTTCTTTGAGCCTTTTGCCATCTTCTATCCCCCATCTAATACTTATGTCTGTCCTTGCCTTTTTTGATGTCATCTTGATTGGCCTGTCACAAGAGTGAACTATGGAAGAAAGATTTATTCTGTCATTTGTATGGCCGTCCTGGGTATGACAATAAACTATGTCCAACAGCAAGGCCTCCTGATCAGGAGGCTTTAAGGCGAGTGGAACCACCTCTTAATTGCTGGTGTTCCCAGGTCCACCCTGACCCGGCGTGGTACACCTGTTAGGGTCCCAGCTATGGGCAAATAGTTAACACCGAAAATGAGGTAAAAAGCATTGTGAAAGTGTAAAAATAGGTTTTAATACCAGAAGTACTTTGTAAAAAAATTATTACCAGAAATAAATTTTTGAAAAAAAAAAAATAATTACCAGCAATATGTTTTTGAAAAAAAAAAAATATTACCAGAAATAGATTTTTTACATAACAAAAAGAAAAAGTTGTCAGCATTAAATGACTCATTGACGTTGATATGCCATAAAACAAACCAAACCAAACCTCTGTTATGGGCATTAGTATATCCATGATATAACATGGATGGAATAGAATGGCGTAAAGGAAAAGGAATGACAAGCATGCTTTGTTCTCAGAGAGACTTTTCTACTACTAAGACATACATAAACCTATATATATATATATATATATATATATATATATATATATATATATATATATATATGTGTGTGTGCACATGTCCCATGCAAAAAACAATGTATAATATACATGTATATTTACATAGCAAAGCAGAGTGTAAGGAGAAACAAAATGGAGAAGACATGTTTAGGACTCACAAGCAAGAAGTGCAAGTGAAAAGAAAATAAGATAAGGGACAAAAATTGCTCAAGTCTTCTCAACATTTCCTCTTCAAAAATTTCTCGGACACCAAAGATTAACCCTAGTCCCCTCCTGAAGAAGAGGTATTGCCTGGTGGGGTTGATCCCATGGGCTTCAATTTAGATGAATAAGTATGCTGTTGAGGTAGTTATAAATTTGTTGTAACTGAAGTTCTTTTTGGCATTACTAGCTATTACCTCATTTGGATATTTGTTACTATTACTATTTTACTGAACATTCAAGTGGTCTTTATGCCTATGAGAAAGATTGTCTTTGCAGTGAAAGGAATCCTTTCATGTAATGGATAAATCCCTGTAACAAAAGTTATTAAGAGCTACAAAGGACATGAAATTGTGGAGAGCTATGATTGCCAACGTCCTGAAGGGATACAGTCTATAGAAGATGATGACACAGTATTGCTTCATGCAGTAAGATCTTTATTTCTAATTCTCATCTTGGAAAAATACATCAAAATGTTCATTTTCTTTATTGCAAATTTTTCAGTATATTTTGGTGTGTAGAATTGAATCATTGAGTGCTTAAAAGAAAATATTGATTCTGTGATTTTTATACTTTTTAAAATGCTGAAATTTTATTAAGCAAAAAAAAAAAAAAAAAAAGCATCCTTCAAAAAATAACTTCCATAATTCTGTGTCTATTAGTCTGGCACTCTCTTATAAAATATTGCAATATTTTTTCTCTTCCATTTTCACTCCAGAAAATGAATGTATTCTTTTGTGTGGAGGGTCAGTTTGGGATAACAGAAAGAAATAGTATTTCCATTAGTTTCATTTAGTCTTTTGTCCCCATCTTTGTTGTTGTTGTTATTAGGAACAACTAAAGATGCTGGGAAAATATTTTGTTCCCTGTAGCACTCCAGAAAGTACCTGACACTTTCTACCAGGTTCTGACTTTGCAAGATCCAGATCAGACCGAAAATGCAATATTGCTGCCACATTGGGGCTGAAGCTGCCGAGTCCTCATTTTCCAGCCTTGAGTTCAAAAATGTTTGTGCAGCCTTGTGGGTGATGAATTATCTTCCATTCTACAATCCATTTTCCCACAGATGAAACATTGCTTTACTGTCAATTATTTCTTCAACAGCAGTTTCAGTAAGAAATTCCCTGAAAGTAATCCACAATCACTTGATAACAGCTGGAGGGCAAATCTGAAATGTGATAAAAACAACAAAGATAGGGAACGATAGTTCACATGTAAATAATCCTCAATAATTATTGCAGAATAATATTTAACAACTGTGTTACGGTGAGGAGCATTAAAGTTGATATGAATAATATTTTGGTGTTATTGACTTTCAATAATCATGTTCTGCAATAAAGATGAAGAATATGTTCCTGAAACACAAGTTCTTTTGTTGCATATTGTAGACAAGGCAACCAAATGTTTCTTGCCAGCATCATTCCTAAAGACTTGTTATGTAGTCAGGTGTTTCGATTTAATGTGACTCCTGTGACATAGTGTGATGGGTTGGTTGGGCGTGACAGAAGAAACACAGTTATCTTGTAACAATTCTACAGCTATAATGAAGGCCTTGTATGGCAGGTTGCCAATGGCTAGAGGCCGCCTGAGAAAGAACAGGTCACCAATTACTTTAATTGCTTAGTATGATATGCAGTACAGAAGTCTAGAAGCATAGGCTGTTCAATATGAAGGAGTTGTACTTCATGGTCCATCTTAGAGCCACAACTCCTTTGCAAGTTTTACAGTGGCTCAGGAAAGAACCTGATTTTCAATTTGTATTGATGGTTTCCAAAAGTCAACAGATGAAGAGTTTTATTATTAAGAATTCTCTAGCAGGTCCAGTGCATACTACCTTGGCACTACTCGGCCAGTGTTGGGCAGGCCAGATTGGGGACCCCAGGCATTTTGTTGTGACTCTCTCTATCTTATCAACATTTGTTTTTTCTACATAAATTTATATACATTACAAATTAAATTAAGCGTAACTTACTATTAATGGATGCAAAATTTTCACGGATTTTGATGTCATTCTTGGTCATCTTATTTTTGTCTAAATCTGTGAATTTGTTTTGCTCATACTAAGTCTTGAATAATCACAAAATAAAATTCACTATTTTTTAAGCATAATGTTAAATGTCTTAAAATTAATCAATTTTTTAAAAAGAAAAATCTCAAGTTGATACTAAAAATTGGCACAAATCATTGTTGATTTATTTAAAATGAAATGACCTATTATCATATGTCTATAATTTGTATTTAGATACGTTCAATTTTTCTAGTTTAATTTTTTACCTGTATTGCTTATGCTCCATTATTGTACTTAATTATGTTGCAATAAAATTTGTATTTTATATAAATACTACCTTATGAAAATTGAAATGTAGTAGAGAAGAGAGCCTTACACCAGC